TGGGGCGAATAAAGGATTCATTCTAAATGTGCTTATATGTTTAACCGCTTCAATAACTCTCGATAATTTGAAATTATTAATTAAACAACATGACCTCGAATCAATTTTGTCGCTTCGTATTTATCAAATTTCTAAATACCCACCGATCACACGAGCTCAATTTGAGGAGTGGAATCGGTTATGGCCAATTAATTTTCGCGAAGATCCTAGGAGGTTTGCATATCAATTACCTCCCGACCAAAAGTTTAAATAGCTATTGATATAAATATCAAATGATAGAGATTCTAGATTTTCTCCCAAAGAAATAGAGATGTTAAGAAATCACATGATCAACGCAATTAAGTTAGCAGATATTGCAAGATCTAAAGGAGAGGTATAGATTTCACTGTAAAATAATAATTTGGGCTAGGTGCTACAAAAAGGGACCAAATTGACAAAACAAAAGATATTCAGAAAATCAATTTTTAAATTATAAATCTTATAATAAGTCATAAGAAAACAAACTTTAAAGAGCAATATAACAAAATTTTATTAATACAACTACTTTTGTATCTTAAGTAAAAAAATTGATTATGATCTTATTCTAAATTGATTTATGTAAAAAAATATCTTTTAAAAAATTGTCAATTTGGTCCCTTTTTGCAGCACCTAGCCCATTTTATCACTGCTCTTATATAATGCAATCGTTTAAAGATACCGGTAGGTTGTGTAATAGTAGATCCGAAAAGAACAGAAATAATATGCGAGTCACATGACACAAGAACGTCTTCAAATCATCCGCTTAAGCATGCTGTTTTAAATTGTATAAATAAAGTAGCGTTGTTCGAGAAAGCAAAATTGAAGTCCATGAGTGACTCTTTGACATCCAAAAAACGAAAAGCTGATAAATTGGATGACCAGTTAGCCTCTTCAAATTGTACACCTCCAGGGTCAAGCTTGAACACCCTCGAAGATAGAGAAAATAGTGCGGGTGTTTATTTATGTAAAGGATATGACATATTCGTAACCCATGAACCTTGTATCACGTAAGTATAGCTATATCATATATAACATTAAGTCGGTTAATTACATTCATTCAATGGAAAGATGTTTATTTATTAAACTCACTGATTTGAATTTGCTTAATAGATGTTCAATGGCTCTTGTACATTCACGAATTGGTCGCGTATTCTATGGACGGTCTAATACTGTATCGGGTGGTTTAGGATCATGCTACAAAATTCATACTCACCACGCTTTAAATCATCACTTCAAAACATTTAATGGATTCTTGGAAGATCAAATTGAAATACTCATGATTGATTGTTAAATATATACTTAGAGACTATTATCCTATTTAATCTAGAAAGGAATTTAACATTCTACACTCATTAAAGTCCATCCAACCACGTCTCACGAATAATAAAAAATGCACACAATCTTGATATAATAAAGTCACCGGGTCCAGCCAAAATCTTTCTTATTCAAAAGTTTTCTTATATCAAAGGCTTTATATTAAAAAATTTTCAGTTTGAACTTATAAGATCTTTATATCAAAGGTTTCTTATATTGAAAGTTATAATCAAACCTCGATATAATCACCAGCTTGGGAACCAAGAATCTGGTGATTATAAAAAGTTGTGATTATATAAAGGTCAAATTTTATATGTTTTATAGTAGCTCAAGTTAAAAATAGTATGATTATATCAAAGTTGTGACTATAGCAAGGTCTGACTGTACTTGTATTCTCATAAAGATTTTTGCTTCTCCTGATGTCCGATGCTTGTCTTACTAAATTTACTCTTTTCAATCAACAATGGTAAATTTTTGCTTATAAGATATAGCTTATTTTTATATTCATTCATAACAGTTGCGCTTGTGTATTTCATCAATTGCCTAGCGAAAATGAAACCCGTCATATAAGCATCAAAATGAGCGGAATGATAGTTATCATATTGGTCCGGTTTTGTGGACGGTATGACAGTTGGTGGCATCGAAGCTGACACATGCTCTTTTGAATTGCTTTCTTCATCTATATGCTGATTTTTACGACGTTTACGTTTTGAGTCGACCTCTTTTGCTTGTTCATCCAAAATAAAATCTAAATCATGGGAGTTTCCACATCTCATTCGTTGAGAACAGAATCCATGCGCCTATGAAATTTAGATATCGAGATTATTATAATTGTTGTAGTACCTGTCAAAAATAAAGTTTACCTACAGCATATTGTTCACAATACTGTTGTTCAAGAGGTCGCTTAGAAGATGTTACGTTCGTGTGAGTTTTTTCATAGACACCCATATTTGTCCATTGAGAATTATCACAGCCTTTTTGAATTCGTATTAATAAATAGCTTTTATCACCAGAGTTTTTGCGATCCACCTGTTCCCTTTCGTATCTTAAATATAAATATTGTTATAATCATGTTTTTGTGATTGCCAATGATATATAATTATAAGAAAAAAAATCATAATTTATTGCCAATGCGACGCACCACTACCCTCTAATTAAAAACACAGTTGCCGGGTTAGGGTTCAGGTAAAGTAATGGTTGAATGCTGCCTAACCCGAAATTCGTAAGTACAGTCTACCCTCGTTATATCAACCTATTTGAATTGGTTTAAACTCATGTTGATAGTGATATTAACAAGGTACAGCCAGACCTTCATGAATGCATAGCCTTGTTTGGCCCCAACTCATATGATACTTGTAGATTTTTACCTCCCTAAATGCAAGATTTTTTGGCCGTCCCACGGTTATGCATTTAGAGGGTATTATATTAAAGTTGATATATATGAGGGAATTTTGATATATAAAAATTTGTAAATACTCTTAGTTGCACTTGATTTTTTTGATTCTATTAACGAGGGTAGACTGTAGTTTGTTTTTCTTGTTAAGGCGAGAAACGATTGCTTAAAAAACGCTTCGATTTCAAGCCCTGCACATTGAATGGGTAGTAATGCTAATTTCTAATTATAAACAGAATTACGTACTTTCTAAATAAGTAAGCTAAAAAGCTACTTTTTTCTCTAGTAACGTAGTCTGCAATATATTTTGTATCAACTATGCCAGCATGAAACATTTCACCCAAATCTGCAACAAATGTACTGAGTTTTTCTGGCAATTCTGCATAAAATGAGTAATAAATGTATATCAAATCGAGAAATCCATTATGGACAATTATCGGAACATTCCGTGTTAGAATGTGAGAGAATATAGAGCGCATTATTGCATTTGGATCATTGGAACTAACTGATGTCTAAAAACAAATAGATAAGTAAACGTCAGTCCAAAAAAAAACGGTTACATAATGATGGCTCTCACCGGATCACGTCCAGGTGTGTAAGGAATTCCTCTGCGGATTTGTTTATTGAAATCGAAGCCGCTATCAGACAGGAATTGTAAACTTCGGGGACTAATAATATGATCTACCTGATTTATCGAAAAAAGAATAATTGTTTAGCCATGTAATAGTTTTGAATCCAAAACCCGAATTAAATGCACTTACTTGACTCAATAGAGTAAAATTAAAGTTGTACACATTGTATTGCTTCTCAAGTCCTCCTGATGCTACCTGTCCAGACGCTGTTGGATCCTCGAATATTGTAATTCCGAAGGCCACCACGGCATGTGTTTTAACAACTTTACATAAATTGATATATCTTTCTTCAATATTACTGTGTAAAACAGCACAATAGGTATATTATTTGGTTTAGATGAATTTCAACAAATTTAATCGGGGTCAATTACTTACGGCGCTCTGGTATTTGCCTCTTTACCACCAAGACCCGTGAATTCAGTATCTAACGCGATGAAACTTGCTCGGTTTAAAGCATTTTTGATGACATGTTCAAGCGTAGAAATGTTGTCCTTGTTGACATCCTTTTTGTAAATCCAAATGAATTAAATAAAAAAAATATATATATATATTAAAAACTAGAATTCTTTAAGAAAAAGCAAACTCACAGTGAAATCCGGTGGTCGAGGTTGCATTTTAAGAGAAATATATACAATGTAGGGGCGTCTACGTGAAGGATTGAATATAAAAACGATACAGTAATTTGATTGGATGATTATAAAACTCGTGTAACAAATCTAAAATGAATCTACGCGTTGCTTTCGCGTACAGATAAATAACATTGGCATATTTCAGTAACGTTTAGATCTCCCTATTCTTTTTGTAAAACTATAAAGAAAATGACGGATTTTTTTAATTTACATGAGGAGCTTTTGAAGCTACAAGATCCAAACTATTTTTTTCAAAACGAAGTATCTATAAAAGATTTGAATGCACAAGAGCTTGATAGAATGTTGAACGGTAAGATTCGACATAATTTGGAAGTAATATGTTCAGAAATCACAATTTTTTTTTTTTTTTTTTTCCAGATACTATTGACAAAATAAGCGAAAGTTCTTCGTCAATAATAAATGCTGAATTATTCGATACTATGCGTAGTTTTGTAAAGTAAGCGCAAATTTTCACCTATTTAATTAGTAATTTTAAATGCAAGTTGAAGGATAATATGACATTTAGCCAATAATCACCCTTTTTTTCAGAAATTTTAATGAATTGAAATCAGCCACGATGAATCGTGTTCTTGATATCATTCTGACCGGTAGCATTAAGATATATATATATATGTTTAATCGAATCTTTAATATAATTTAAAATTGAGTATAATATATATTTAGGCATTCAAGCCGAATGTGAGAACACGTCAAGTGACTTGGACGCAGATGACGAAGAAACTTATAGCGAACATCGAACTGCGTTGGAAATGTATGGATTTTTGTTAGTATGGTTGATTTCCAACGCGGAAAACAAAGCTGACTCTAAGAGTATTGCAAGTGGAACGATGGCAATGGCTGGTGGAAAGACAAAGGTAATCTTCGAAATATATATTTTTGGCACCTAATTAAGTGCTACTGCTTAATTTATATTATTATAAATAGCGACAGAGACAAACAAAACCAAAATCATCAACTCCTTCAGCGGTCAGTTTGTCAGATGAGTGGGATTGGTCAGCTCAGAAGCCAGTCACATTGAGATTGATGGTAAAAGTGCTGGAACTTAAAATTAAAAACATTTGGACTTCGACGCACGAAAGGGATACTTTTGTTAGGTATTCATAGTGATTGAAGTAAAATATCGATATAATTTTAAATAATGACACTACATATTCCTTCTAGTTTATTTACTAAATCAGCATATCGGATCTTAGAAAATGTAACTAATACGAAAGATTCTGCAATAAAAAAAATTGTATATCAAATTCTCTCGGTTTGCGTAAAAGAGCATAATCATGCATTTGGTTAGTATAACGTAAAAAAAGAGAATAATTTTATATTATTGATTATCACAATCTTCTTTTTAATAGGTGCCCAAACTTCCATAATGCAAAATTTGCAATACTATGAGCATCTTGCAGAACCAATGGCTGAATTTCTTGATGTTCTTGCAGAAAACTACAATCACACGCGACTGACAGAAGAAATTTTGATGTAGAGTTATCCCAAGTTCGATTTATTTTGATAGATAAATTTATTTTATAATAATATAATAATATATTCTTTTTATTAGAGAAATAAGCAATAAAGAATTCGGAAGTCAAGATACAATAGGTCCAAAATCTTTTTCAAAATTTCTCGTTAAGCTGTCAGAGTTGGTTCCTAAAGTGGTTGCGAAACAGATTGGACTATTGGTTAAACTTTTAGACAACGAAGTAGCTATCGAAAATCTCTTAGAGTTTCATCGCGTTTTATGAAACAATACTAAATAATGAATTTTCATTATCCAGTCTTACACAATGCGGATGGGATTGATAGAAGTTCTTGGAAATCTTATAATTGATTTTGCAAGCCAAGAGGAACAAGCAACGAATTACATCTCACAAATAAATGGATTTTTCGATGCTATGGATGAGCGGTTCCTTGATGCGAATTCCTTTTGTCGTTCAAAATTATTACAAGTTTATCTAAGATTAGTCGAGTAAGTTAAATGTCTTTATTGACGGGTCTTATGTGACAATCTGTGCTTTTTTCATTTACTTAATGGCACGGGATTGTTACGTCAGACGCCGTGTAATAAGATAGTTATTGTATGGGTATATTGAATACCCAGTTACACACACAGTTTCATATTTAGATCCCGTGCCTTCGGCACAGAATATGAACCCACGTGTAACTGGGTTATTCACAACAATTACTATAAATAATGGAATAGTATATACTATGTATAAAAATTTCAATGTTTATTCCCGTTATATGATAGGTTGAAAGCTAAGTTTCCAAAACGTAGACAAAAACTCACCGGTCTAGTTATCCGATCTTTGGAGGATAAGAGTTGTCATGTTCGGAAAAATGCCATCAAACTATTGACTAGATTGATTGCTACACATCCATATGGCGTAATTCATGGAGGAGAACTTTCAGTTAAAGAATGGGAGGATAGGTTAGAAAAAATAGAAAATGAATTAAAGGTAATTTTGATTATGAAATAATACAAATGATGCGTACCATGCTGATCAAATAATCCGCTTTCGATATAAAAAGGCTATTCAACCTCCACAAGAATTTACAGAAGTGGGGGCGGAGTCTTCTACTTCATTACTAAGCGATGATGATAATCAAAGCGAAGATATGGATGTTGACATGCCTGATTTACCAAACCAACAGAACACATCCGCTGATGAAATAATGAGGCTTCAACTTACAAGACGCTACTATTCGGATGCTGTTCGTTTCATACACCAAGTGCATACTGCTATTCCAACTCTTTGTCAACTTCTTGGATCTACAACAAAATCGGAAGTACTTGAGGCAATGGAATTTTTTGTCACCGCATACACTTACAAGATGGAATTTGCAGTAGATGGGATTAAGAGAATGCTTCATCTGATTTGGATAAAAGATAATAATGATGAAGAAAAGGGTATTCGGAAACGTTTAATTGAAAGCTACTACAAATTATATATTGAAACAGATATTTCGCTTTCTGATAAAGAAGCAGTTAATACGGTAACCAGGAATTTAATAAGGTATTTTGACGCAAATATTCATAAAGAATTATACGATATATTTATAAACTAAATAAATTGTGTACAACATTTTATAATTTTTTTTAGTTTGACTTATAATGCCACGCTTGCAGAATTAACATCACTTGAACAACTTATGAGCACAATGATGGCCGAAGAGCTTATAAGTAATGATGTTATAACTAAACTATGGTCGGTCTATTGTAAGAACGCTGTGTATATTATATAATTTGCTTTATTACTCCGATATACAAGTGTTAATATGTAATGGTATTTATTTAAGCTATTTCGACAAAACAAATTCCTAAAGTGCAGCGTCGTGGCGCAATTATTATACTTGGGATGCTTGCGAAAGCAAAAATGGAAATAGTTCAGGAAAAAACAGAACTGTTATTAAAAATTGGTCTTGGTCCTTTTGGTAAAGTGAGTACTTTTTCGTAAAACAAATGATATTATTGAAAATGAATGTGCTGCCGAGTTCTAAATATTAAAATTTAACGTAGGCTGATTTATTATTGGCAAAATATACTTGTATCGCATTACAACGATTAGGTGGTAATAGAGCTAGGGTAAAAGGTATCGTTATCATGAGAAGCTATTGATATACCGTTTAATTCGATATGTATAATATGTCATGTTGCTAAATAGCATAAAATTGTAAACAAATTACTTATCAGCATATTTATTTTATAAGGTTCATTGGGCAATGACTCTATTCGATTACCTATGTCTCACCCAATTTTTCATAGATTAAAACAGATGATCGAATTTCAAACATCGTCACAAGAATGGTAGTTAAATATATATAAATGACTACATCGTTTATTGAACAAAAAATATTAATTCAATTTGCATTCAGGTTCGCTGTTGCTGAGCAGGTGATCAATGCTATATACTTACTTGGGGAACATCCAGACATTTTATGCGGTGAAATTATTATACATAAAACCGCATCTGTTTTCGACTTGAAAATTCCCAAAGCAGATGATATGGACATTGACGGGGATAATTTTCTGCCAGACCAAGAACAGTTTACGGCACACCCCCTTCAATTAAGTCAACTGATATTTATAGTTGGACATGTTGCCATCAAGCACATTGTTCATTTAGAATTTATTGAAGATGAGTGGAAACGACGGAAAGCTGAAGCAGAATCGAAAGGTGCTTTAAAGTTATGTTGAGATTTCTAATTGAAAGATCAGGCATATACTGAGTGCTTCTGTGTTCTTTTTAGATACTGAAAAATCAACAAAAAATCCCGGAGATGATGAGTTAGAACAAGTGGCCGGTACAACAGAAGATGAATTTGGAGAAGCTGTTGCCCATATTCGCGAAAAAGAGTTATTGTTTGGTGAAAATTCATTGTTGGCAGTCTTTGGTCAGTTAATTAGCAACATATGTGCTAATAACAAGACCTATAATGTACGAAAATTATTTTATTGGAAAGATCTATTTTAATTTATTTTTCATTTATCAACTTATTCATTAACCTCTTATTTATTAACACGCAGCATCATACTCTACAATTATGCGCTACTTTAGCACTAGCAAAATTAATGTGCGTCAGTTCAGAATTTTGCGAAAATAACTTACAGTTACTATTTACTATACTTGAACGGTCAAACGAGCCTACAATTCGCAGTAATATAATCATCGCACTAGGAGATATGACTGTTTGTTTCAACAACATAATTGACGAAAATATCAACTATTTATACAAGCGTCTCGCAGACTCCGATAATTTAGTTAAGAAGAACACGTTAATGGTTCTAACTCATTTGATTCTTAATGGAATGATTAAGGTTAAAGGTCAACTAGGTGAGATGGCCAAATGTTTAGAGGATGAGGATCAGAGGATAAGTGACCTTGCTAGACTATTTTTCACTGAGCTTGCGTCAAAAGATAATGCAGTATACAATAATTTACCAGATATTATTAGCAATCTCTCAAGTGGAGATAACCCTGTAAATGAAGAATCATTTAAGAAGATTATGAAATTTTTGTTTGATTTTATTGAAAAGGTGAGTGTATATCATTGTCCGGAAGATCTATTTTGGCCTCCTATTCGCACACGTGATATCCTAGTATTGTCGGAAAAATTTTTACGTTCATGTGATGGTCAAAACTTCGTTTTTATAATAGGGTTGGCGTTTAAGTACTGTTGGTTCGACTTTATAGTAGAAATTTTGTTAGTATTTTGTTGGCGATCCTGGTGGTTGACCATTACTGATCACGTCAAACATGTCCGTTTATCTGCAGAAAACCGGCTATGATTAACCATTAACTTCTGTTGCCCAGCATTATTTAATATATGATTTTTACCAATATTATTACCGTTTAGGATAAACATACTGAAAATGTCGTAGAAAAATTATGTCAAAGGTTCAAAAACCTTGATGATCGGTGTCAGTGGCGCAATATTGCATATTGTTTATCATTGCTACCTTACAAGAATGAAAGAATTGTAAAGAAGCTGCTCGAAGGAATGACACATTATCAAGATAAATTGCACGAGAATGATGTTCATAAAGCTTTTACGGATATTATATCCAAAGTTGGTTTTTGTATATATGTGTGCTTATGTTTATGCTGTATGTATACTGAGTTATATTTAAATTTACTCTAGGCAAGGTCAATAAAACCACAAAAACCTGAGATGAAACAACTGATTGATGAATATGAGTCAAAAATTGAAGAATTTAGGCAGAGGAGCCAAGAATAAGGTATGTCCGATTCTGTTAGCGAAAAAATCGGCTAAAGCAAATTTTTAGCTTAGCCATCGAAATCATTAGATATATAGTGCTTAAGTGATGTATTTAAAATCAGTGTTGTTGGACCGGAAACTGGACGTCCAGATCTTCCAGTGTTCCGGCGATTCCAGTGAAAAGTTCCACTGGAACATGTATATTATTAACTCTTTAAATTATTTCGCTGTTTACAATAGGTCCGTTCCAAAACATTTAATTGGCTAAATTGCAATTACTCAACCGTATAAAGATCTTAATAAAAATATATTTTTTTATTTTAGTTTATACGTAGTATAAAGAATACCTAAGCATTTAGAATGTTTCCTATTTAATTTTATTTTAGATTTGAGCATATAGTAAAGAACGTTCATTAAGCCAAATATATGTAAATTAGTCCAAAGTGGATATACAGTCTGACCTCGATATAATCACCAGGTTGGGAAACAATTTTGGTGATTATAAAAGGTTGAGACTAAATAAAGGCCGACTCGACTGACAAGTTAATTGATGGTCTAAATGATCGATAATTTGCATAACAGATAATTTGTATTTACGTGAACCTTAGCACAGGCATGCAGGAAATGGAAAAGCTTCACATAGTTTTAAATTCTTTACCCCAAATGTCCAAAGACATCGTAGACGACACAATTCATGAAAAGGTTCTTTCTTACCTTTCAGAGTATACATCCCAAGGACCTGATATGGTTGCCACTTTCATGGAATGGAATGTCATGAAAATTATACGCGTGCGTAAACATATTATCAATATACTATCTTTATAAACTGTGATTTTTAAATCGAACGTTCATGCTTGATCCCGAAAATATTTGATATTCGGCTAGGCTTGTATTATACAAGAGAATCGGTGCAACGAGATCGAAACTGGACACGAATGCAATAAAGATTCAAGAATTACATCATTATCTATACGCTTTCTAGCGCGTCTTTTGGCTAATGATGACAGACAAAGCGCTCTTTTATTTAATCAAATCATTTACGAATATAGTGATGTGCTTGATTTTATTTTGGACAATGCATTCTCTGAAGAAGGCTTGATGCGATATTCGTGTATTGAAGCTTTGGAACAAATAATTGCATATGAACTTGGTGCGAAATGGTAATTGATATAGAAAATTGGTTCATAACGTACCCATGCCAAATATTGTTTAATATATAATAACGATTCATGAAGGTTCCATAGCACAAAAGGTGCACAAGTTGTTATCGCTTGTTTTCTTGACTCTAGCACTTATGTGAGTAAGCTTGATTTTAATGATTTTTTTTTTCTTTGTGCCTGTTTACTAGCACGGCAATTAATTGGTTTCAAACAAAAAGGTGGCATCAGCAGCTTCACGATTATTTTTATCGATAATCAACCATTCAACATTCACAGATACGACAAAAGCAACTGCACAAAATGATCTTTTGGAATTTTTAATCTCAACTCTTGATCTTTTCAACAGGATACAGGAAATGTTATTTAATCCTTGTAAAGATATCGGACAGCGATTAGCGGCTTTACAATTTATTTTAACATTGGCAAGTTCAAAGACAACTAATGCATTCGAGTTTTTGAAACGCGGGCAGTTAGTATGTTAATTTTTTATACTGTACTATCGTCTGAATTGACAGTTAACACATATTTATGATTAATTATTAATTGTACTCAAGTTAACCCGCATGGGCGTGTTACTTGCTGAGCGCGATAGAGTTATGAGATCTCGAGCAAATGATATTTTGTGTGCTGTTTTCGAATGGGCATCAGATCCTATTTCTTTGTTAAAAGGTGCTAGCTATACGAATGATCCAATCACTGAAAGTAGGTAATTATAATTTACTATTCAGTCAAAATGATTTCATTAACGAATATTTATTTTATTTTTATTTTTTTTTTATTTTATGCAGCGTTTGATTTCGTCATAACCGATATCGTTTTTCTCTTATTGCATAACGATACAAACTTTGATATGGTCGTTGTAGCTGTTAATGTTCTCGAATCTTTGATTTTATTGGTTAAGCGCGCAAGCTTTGATCGAGAAAAACTCGCGTCAAGAATAATGGATATATTAGTTTTTTTGCTCAGCTTTGAAAAAGCTGAGAAATCGATAAATAAATTATCAATTTACGATAAGCCTGATGTAAATTTGTTATATACCAACGGAACTTATGATAAGGTATGTGAAATTTTGATCTATTATAAATAAATTTAAATTTAAGTGGGTAAATTTATGTTTTTATCAAAGTTAAGGACGCTTTTCTCAAACGTAAGATGTAATGCTTATAATGAAAAGTCTCTTTTATCGAGTATATTACATTCGATTAGTACTATATCCCTTGAATTCAACTCAATAAATGCGGTAATTATTTAAACTATATTCATAATAAGTGATCACCTCATCAACTAACTTAAAAATCTTTCATAGGTAACTGCATCAACCGATGTGATATGCGATATTTTATTTGTTCCCAATTATATCGCTGATCCTCGTATATTGAAAGCAGTGCTTAGTGTCATTCCTACTGCCATTTCTGCCAAAATTACCAATAGTCAGATTAAAGAAAAACAGACTATTGACGAGGTCTCATGATAATAATTCATGTGTGTTGTATCACATTGATGCCATTTACTGATTTGCGTTTTATTTATTGAACTAGATATTAGGAACAATTCAAAAATTGATGAAAGATACACAAACGGAATGCCAAAGCATAGTTATATTACTCGAAACAATGCAAAAGCTTCTTGCTGACAATATTACAGGTCAATATATTCTTAATAATAAATATGGGAATGAATGGGCTGACACGCTCCTATTCAAAGTGCATGATTTTCGTTGGGAAATACGTGATTCAATCCTTGAATTTGCTGATAAGTTATTTGACCAGGTTAGTCAGTCTTTCTTTTACTATAGTTAACGAATCTATTTTGCTTTTTTTTAATATATAGACTATTCTAGTCGAATAATACTGGGGTTGGTATTGATTTTGCACTCAGATTTGGGTTGCCTCAGATGGTTGTTTCAAAAATTAGTGATGATACGGCTTATGTGCGTGCATCCTGCTTAAAAGCAATTAAGGTATTTGTTAATATTATCACAATAATTATTTTTATTTCTGCAGAATAATTTTAGAATATAAATTTTTAATATATTTGGATCAATAAAGTCAATCGTCCGGCGTTCAGATGGATGGAATTATATTGTTTCACATAATCTGCATGTACAAATTGTTTCTAAGCTTCCTCTAATGATGAAAGACACCGAAGCCCTTGTACGACGAGCTGTAATGGAATTAATGGTTTGTCTTATTATAGAACGCGGATGTGGTGCTATATTATTAACAAACCAGAACGTTGAGAATCTTAAGTTTGTTACAATTTTATTCTACGATAATTTTGTCTATTTACTTTTTATCCTTATATTAATAATGATTAATTTCTTTAGTAAAGCTGTAATGGACAAGATTATGAATGATCCAGATTTTTATGTTCAAATTGGTGGTTGTCAGTTTCTTATGGCAATATGGTACTATTGTGAGCAAAATAAAAACAATAAACCTAACGGAAACTCTTTAATTGGCGAAAATTCATCATGGTTTTATTGGCTTAATGGAGATGAATTTCTCATTGACGCAGTAGGTAGCCCATTTCACAAAACGGCATTATCTTCGAATCACTCAATATAGTATTTTTTTAAATAGGCGGATAACCCAAGCCGGTTGGTTCGTGGAGAAATTCTTCAGATACTTAGACGTCTAAAAGCTTACCTCGAAGAACATATAACATCTAATAAAGATTTCATTAACAACAATTCACAATTGGATAATGAAGCCATTGATACATCCGGGAGACGGTCATTTGGCCAATTGTCTCTATTACTGCAAAAACATTCAAATTTTTATAGGAAAATCTGCTTAATTGATTTTGATCGGCTGGAAGCTATGATTGATGTTGAGCATTTATACAAAGAAGCTTTAGAAAGTGTCAATCCTAGAATGATGGTCAATGCGGATTTAATAGTAGAAGGAAACGAAGACAATACATTAGATTGTTATTTCTAGAATGTCAGATAAACCATTTAAGATCAAAATTTTGTATTTGTGACAAATTTTTAGTTAATGAAAGTTCCAACCAGACAGAATTGCTTTTGGTGTTTTAAAAGAAAAAAAAAAATAACTTTTAAAAATTATAATACGACAGGATGAAACCCGCGCAGCGCGGATTTCACCCTGTCAAAATAAAGCTGCACCAAAACTTCGAACGAAGATATCTCGAACTAAATTCGATGAATTTTTTCTTATTTAAATAAAAAAAAATTTCATCGAATTTGGTAGGTAATTGTTGAGATATTTTCTCTCAAAGTTTAGAAAAAATAGAATGCACCAAATTTTTTTAAAAAATTTTGAGCGAAGATATCTCGATAACCACTTGACTAAATTTGATGGATTTTTTTTTTATTTGAATTCTGTAAATCTATAAAATTAAAATAAAAAAAATTTCATTGAATTTGGTTAGGTGGTTGTTGAGGTATCTTAGCTCAAGGTTTTAGAAAAAATCAGAACGCCTATCTGAATAAAGCTACGCCAAATTTTTTTTAAATCTTTGAGCGGAGATATCGCGATATCCGCCTGATTAAATTCAATGATTTTTTTTTATTTAAATTTTATAAATATATAGAAATCAAATAAAAAAATTATCATTGAATTTGCTCAGGTGGTTGTCGAGATATCTTTGGTCAAAGTTTTAAAAAAATCAGAACGTTTATCTGAATAGAAGCTACGACAAATTTTTTTAAAATTTTAGCGAAGATATCTCGACAACCGCCTGACTAAATTCGATGAATTTTTTTTTCTAATTATATCCTATAGATCCATAGAATTCGAATAAAAAATTTTTCATTGAATTTGGTCGGGTGGTTGTTGAGATATCTTCGCTCAAAGATTTAGAAAAAATCAAAACACCTATCTGAATAAGAGTTGCGCCAAATTTTTTTAAAAAACTTTGAGCGACGATATCTCGACAACCACCTGACCAAATTCAATTATATATCTATAAATTTTTTTTTAAAAAAAAAATCAATTTAATTTTCTAAAAATTTGAGCGAAGATATCTCAACAACCACCTGACCAAATTTGATAAATTTTTTTTATTTTAATTCTATAGGTTTATAGAATTCAAATAAAAAAATTCATCGAATTTAGTCAAGTGGTTGTCGAGATATCTTTGCTAAAAGTTAAAAAGAAAAATTTAGTGCAGCTTCTACTAAGATAGGCGTTTAGTCTTTTTAGCAAAATATCTCAACAACTACCTGACCAAATTCGATGAAAATTTTTTTTATTTTAATTCTATAGATTTTTAGAATTCAAAAACAAAAAAAATCCATCGAATTTAGTCATATTGAGATATCTTCATTCAAATTTTTAAAAAAATTTAGCGTAATTTCTATTTAATAGGTGGTTTGATTTTTTTTAAAGCTTTGAGCAAAAATATCTTAACAACTACCTGACCAAATTCAATGAAAATTTTTTTATTTGAATTCTATGGATCCACAGAATTCAAATAAAAAAAAACAAATTTAGTTAGGTGGTTATTGTTCGAAGCTTTGGTGTAGCTTTATTTTGACAGGGTGAAATCTATGCTGTGTGGATTTTACTAACTGGTAGCACGGATTTGGGATTGAGCTATAGACAAACAGAATTGTCCATCTATATTTAAAAATTCTATATGGCAAAACTAGACAAATTCTAACCCCAAATCCAAACCTATTCCAAATTGTATCTCATATTTAGAATTGGGTTTAACTGCTTAATGAAGTCAAGTTAATCTGTTTACTATATATTTTTTTTGTTGTTTTTAGAATCTGGAATTTTTCAAAGTATTTTTTATTAAACAAACTTTTTTTTAACTTTTAAGTAAAGCTGTAGAGAAGTACCTTGCAATTAGTAAATTGCAAAATATAAGCATTTTAGTTTTTACAACTACATGTTTTCTTTATATAATTAAAGAAAAAAACATAAAGTTACAAAAACTAAAATACTTATTTCTTGCAATTCACTAGGCCAATTTTAACATTTTAACCACTATTTTGATCACAAAACACTTTTTTATAACTTTACTTAGAAGTTAAAAAAGGTTTGTTTAGTAAAGAAAAAAATTTTTTTTTGAAAAACTTCAGATTTTAAAAACAATAATAAATTAAGATATAAAACCCACTTTCAAATATATAAAATTTGATATAATTTAAGCAAAGATATTATAGCAACCACTTGACCAAATTCAATGAAATTTTTTTATTTAAATTCTATAAATTTATAGAATTCAAATAAAAAAATTTTTATTAAATTTGATTAGGTAGTTGCTAAAATATCTTCACTCAAAGTTTTAAAAAAATTTGGTATAGCTTATATTTTAATAAATATTTTGATTTTTTATAAATCTTTGAGAAAAAGTAACTTAGCAATCATATAATCAAATTTGATGGTTTTTTATTTAAATTTTATAGATTTATAGGATTAAATAAAAAGTTTTTATTAAATTTGGTTAGATGGTTACTAAGTTACTCTTGCTCAAAGTTTTAAAAAATTTTAATACAACTTGTATTTTAATTTTGATAATGTTTTGATTTTTTTTTAAATCTTTACTGTTGGCCACTGTATACAGTACCCAGGGTCTTATTCAAAAACTTCATTTTTAAAATTAAATAGTATTTGAGAGTATTGTGTAAAGAAACAGATACTATATTTGAGAAAATATTATATTAAAAACTTATAAAACTTTAATTATACTTAACTATGAAATTCTCTAATTCCCAATTATTATCTTCATTTCTACTAATAACAGTAATCCTGAACCAATTAATACCTCTTGTGATAATCTATTTAGATCTTACTTTTTAAGAAAATAAAATCAACCAAAACTTATTGAATGCTTTATCTCCTAACAATATTCATTCTCAACTACCTATTTCTTATACTTTATATTACAAATATACTCCTCTTTTTTAGCATTTTGTTCTTTATACACTTTTAACTCAATTTCAAACCAAAATATTAAATGATAATCCTTCTATATCTTGTATATACTGTTCAATTTTAATGATGAAATTTTCTGCCCAATGGATTCTTTACAACACTGAAGAAAACTATCTATTATTTTACATTTTCAATATACCAGTACATACAAGATTAAACGATTGAAATATAAACCAAGTTGCTGTTTGTAACAAATGCAAAAAACAAACTACAAGGCACTACCCACCAATATTATTTCAAATTCCACAAGAAATTCAAACCATTCCAATAATATTGTTATAGAACGTGTTAAACATCTAGGAACGTACAAGATATTTTAACTCCAGAAGATCCGAAAGGTTCTGACGATCAAAATGAGCTACAATACATGATGAACGGATGAATAGGTGACCGGCAATTGATAAACAAAGATAAGCAAGGAATTGATAGACGATAAACCGGAATGGATTTACAAGTCTTGTAAATCCATACTCTTAATATATTTCTTAATATTTCTTATTGTTTCTTAATGTTTCTTTATGTTTTTTAATGTTTCTTATTGTTTCTTAATGTTTCTTTATGTTCTTAATGTTTTGTTATGTTTCTTAATACTTCTTATTGTTTTTTATTTATTTATTATTATTTATTACTAGCATCTAACCCATCGCGTTGCTCCGGATTCAAATATAAAATATTTAGTTAATTTAAACCAAAAAAATTATTATAAAATATATATAGTAA